CCATACATCACACACACTGTATAAACTACACACACACTACAGACATACATATAGTACACGCACCACAGACAAAGTCCATACCCTCACACACACATCAGGCACCATACACCACCTCTCCTGCCCCATTCTGAAGGCGTGTTTATGCCCGCAGTGAACACAGCACTGCAGAGCCTGGGAACTGAGCCTGGGAGTGAGACATATGGAAGGGATGTGAAAAGTCTGGTCTGTGACAAAACAAGGAATTACTGTGGGTACCACTGTCCCCAGAGCCCTGGGCCAGGGAACCTCTGCCCATCAGCCCAGAGGGGGCCAGGTGTTCTGTTCTGTGGCTGTGGAGGGTGCAGCGATGGGGCTTCTCACCTTGCTGTGAAAATCGGATTAGAAGGGAGCTTTGTTAAGAGATAAGCCGCTCAGACCTGAGCCATCTGTGCCCTCTGAGCTTCAGCTGTGTTCACCCGGAGCACAAACATCCCGGGATGGGGAAGCAGAGGCAAGGACTTCCCTGAACCAAGTCCCTCCGTGTGCCAGGCCCTTCGTGGGCACTCCCACACCTGGCTATTTGCCCTCTGAGTATGTCCTGTCATCTCAATTTTCTAGAAAAGACACAACATGCCCAGCTCACACGGAGCACCCTTAGCAGATTAGGGCTTCTGTGCTGGACCCGGGGCCTCTGTCCTTCTCCTAACATAGTCACACTGTGTTGTGACAAAGAGTGGCCTGCAGGTAGGGCTTTAGGGACACGTTTCTGCCAGCAGAAAGCTATGCCTCAGGCTCTATCGCCGACCTTGTCAAATAAGGATATGTCTGCATTGAGTTGATTTATTTTATTTACTACTTGTTTGTTTGGGTGTTCTTTCCAGCAGACTCAGGTCAGGAGGCTAGGAAGGGATTTCTAGGGGACCACTGGATGCTGGTGGTTAAATGCCAGGAGTTTGAATGAATCTGAAGATGGAGCTGGCTCTGCAGTCTTGGTCAGCCACCCTTGGGTGCTTGCCACCCTGCACCCGAGCAGGATTGATGGTCTCTGGATTTGTGGCTGTGACCAGTCACAGTGGAACGATTGACTGTTTGCCTTGGAGAGGCTCACATAGTGGGCTGAGGCTGTGTGGGCTGAGGTTGGACCATCATAGCTCTAAAAGTTGATGGCACAATTGAGACAAGTATGTGGAGTTCCAGGACTTTCCCAGCGTCTTTGCTGCCTGAGATGAAACCCTCCAACATTGCAGCTCACTGCTGTGATGTCTGAAAGGGGAGACAGGATGCTGCTGGGCACCTCAGGTGCCAGGCGTGAGGGTCTCCGCTGTCTGGAATCTTGCTTTGGGAGTGCTACACCTGTGGAAGTGCCCCAGGCACCACCCAAGGGCGGGCCTCTGGCTCAAGCTTGCATGGTTTGCAGAGCCTCACATGTTGTCCTGGGAGGAGCAATGAGTAGACAAGAGGGACAAGGACAGGAAGGTGGCGAAGTCAGAGCCAGATTGGGGGGAGAGAGAGGAAAACACAATTAGGATGCATTTTCTTTTTTTTTTTTTTTTTTTTTTTTTGAGACAGAGTTTCGCTCTTGTTACCCAGGCTGGAGTACAGTGGCGCGATCTCAGCTTGCCGCAACCTCCGCCTCCTGGGTTCAAGCAATTCTCCTGCCTCAGCCTCCTGAGTCGCTGGGACTACAGGTGCACGCCACCATGCCCAGCTGATTTTTGTATTTTTAGTAGAGATGGGGTTTCACCTGTTGACCATGATGGTCTCGATCTCTTGACCTCGTGATCCACCCGCCTCAGCCTCCCAAAGTGCTGGGATTATAGGCATGAGCCACCATGCCCGGCCAGGATGCATTTTCAAACATAATTTAAAAAAAAAAATCAAAGCAAGAATTAGGTCTTATCCTTTTCCCTGGTGGCCCAGAAGGGGCTTTTCATGGCAAATATGACCAGCCCACATTATTTCAGTCCCAACAGGGGGAATCTAATTGATTGGCAAAAGAGGAAGAGAGGGTGGCTGATCTTAAGTGGAGCCCACCTGAGCTACCTCAGGTCTGGGAGGCCAGTTTCTAATGACTCTGGTAGGAGGGTCTGCAGATGGATGTGCAGGCCCTTGGGTCCCCAGCTATCTTGCTCCAGACAGCACATACCAGACAATGTGTCCCAAAACTACATTTGCATCTTTTTGACACGCCAGTCCCATTTATGGGAGGAATAATCCACAAGAAAGAAAAAGCTGCATGCATTAAACTATTCTTTATAGTTATTTTTCTTTTTAAGAGAGATTGGCTGGGGCAGGGGGCGGTCTTGTTGTGTTGCCCAGGTTGGTCTCAAACTCCTGGCCTCAAGCTATCCACCTGCCTCAGCCTCCCAAAGTGCTGGGATTACAGCATGAGCCATTATGCCTGGCCCATAGTTTTTGTTTGTTTGTTTGTTTGTTTGTTCGTTCGTTTTTTGTGAGACGGAGTCTTGCTCTGTCACCAGGCTGGAGTGCAGTGGTGCAATCTCGGCTCACTGCAACCTCCACCTCCTCGGTTCAAGCGATTCTTCCGCCTCAGCCTCCCGAGTAGCTGGGACTACAGGCGCGTGCCACCACACCCGGCTAATTTTTGTATTTTTAGTAGAGACGGGGTTTCATCATGGCCAGGTTGGTCTCGATCTCTTGACCTCATGATCCGCCCACCTCAGCCTCCCAAAGTGCTGGGATTACAGGCGTGAGCCACCACGCCCGGCCAGTTTTGTTTTTAATTGCAGAAAAAAAAAGTCTAGAAACAATCTGAATATCCTATAACAGAGAAATTGTTAATTTGTAATGATAATTTGGCCAGGGCAGCGGCCCACACCTGTAATCCTAGCACTCTGGGAGGCTGAGTTGGGCAGATCACTTGAGCCCAGGGGTTCAAGAGCAGCCTGCACGACATGGTGAAACCTGTCTCTACCAAAGATACAGAATTTTGCTGGGCATGATCGTGCACGCTTGTGGTCCCAGCTACTCAGGAGGCTGAGGTGGGAGGATCACCTGAGCCTGGGAGGTCGAGGCTGTGGTCAGCCATGACTGAGCCACTGTACTATACCCTGGATGACAGAGTAAACCCTTTTCTCAAAATAAATAAATAAATAAATAATAATAAAATAAAAATGAATGATAATTTATGATGATGAAAATGTTTCATGGGGACAAAACCCAGTGATTATGATGGCTGTGTAGCAACAAGAAGAAAAATACTTCTGACTTAAATTTAAAATTTTTTAAATGAGTTACAATTAATGAAAAATAAAACCAAGTAAACACGTTTGTACAAAAAACAAAGAACACATGAATGAGAAGGGTCCTTAGTTATGGTCATGAGATTATTCTTTCTAATTCTGTTTTCAGATTATTACTATATGCAATGTGGTGGTAATTAAGATTATGGAATCTAGAGCGAGCCAGATTATCTGAGTTCGAAGCTTGGCTCTATCATTTGCTTAGTAGCTGTGGGACCTTCAACAAGTTACTTAACCTTTCTGTGCTTCTGTCTCTCATTTGCGGAAGTGAAAATATTAATATTGGCTAACTTTTAGGATTATTGTAAGGACCAAATGTGTTAGCAGATGTAAGTGGCACACCTAATAATTGCTATATAAGCACTAGCTATAGAAAAAAATAAATTTAATTATAATTCATCCATCCATTCATGTCTTAATCACAAATAAGTGCTAATATTGGTATGTTTTTCTGATTTTTTTTTTCTATTGGAAAGTGCTATGATCTCCCCATAGTGATAATCCTAGTAATATACAGCGTAACCTACCCTCTTCCATTAATACCATGTCGTGAGAATTTTCCACCAGCATTTCTGAGGGAGACACATGATTTCCTGATCCTCCTTTACCTCCTTTCTTCACCTCAGATCCCAAGACTGTCTTCTCTGACTCCTACAATAAATTTTGCGGTTGGCTGATTGCAAATATGACTGCCATTCTCCATCTCTCCTTTGCAGTTTCTCCCATCATGATATGGAGTCTATTTGCCCGCTTCTAAAATCTGGACTGGCCTTGCAACTTGCTTTAGCCAGAACGAAGGTGGTAGAGACAAAGGTGGGAAGTTCAGAGCCTGAACCTCAAAAGGTCTTACGTGTTTCCATTTATGTAAGCGGAACTCTGCAGATACCACATGAACAGTCTGGGCTCGCCTGCGTGGAGCATGAAAGACCGCGTGGAGCATGAAAGACCACGTGGAGGAGAGTCCAGGTGTCCTAACCGAGACCATTCTAGACTCACAGACACCAAAAATATGAGACACTGTAGACAAGATCAGTAGAGCTCCCTATCCAAATCTCAGAAGAATGAATGAATCCAGCCAAGACTAGAAGAAATATGCAGCTGACCTGTAGGCTCATGGAAAACAATAAATACTTACTGCTTTGGGTCACTAAAATTGGGAGTGTGTTGTTATGCAGCTGTGGCTAACGGATATAATCACAAGAAGCAAGACCACAGGTCTGAGGCTCCTCTGATCAAGCCACTGGACGGGACGGTCGCCAGCCCTCTTTACCTCTTCCTTTCCGGGGTATATTTTTCTGGGCCCTCATGTCCCTCCTGTTATCACTGTTTCTGAAAACCTCATGTCCTCAATGGGTAACCTTTGTCCATGCAGTCCGAGCCCCTTCCTGAAGGCAGACACAACCCTATGTCAAAGGAGGAATCCCTCTGTGCCCCTTCCAGCCTGAGTCTCCCACTATGGGCTGAGCCATTTTGCTGAGTTTCAAAAACAGGAGGTGGCATGGAGCTCTCAGGACCTGGGCAGGCTCTCAGGCTCCAGGCTTCCCACAGGACCTCCCCAGTTTTCCCAACTAGCTTCCTCACAGTGGCCCCAAGATGCACAAAAGGAAGATGGCCTGACTGAGGCTTCAGGACCACAGCATTTCCTAGCTGGTGGGGCCTACACAGCCATCAGTCTGACCCTAGCTTAAGCCTGAGTAGCCCCTGGGCTTGGGGTTAATGCTTGATGCCTGTAAAGAGCCAACAGAGTCAGCACATTGAAACTTCCTTTAAAAAAACTGGACCAGATGCAATGGCTCAGGCCTGTAATCCCAGCACTTTAGCACTTTGGGAGGCCAAGGCAGGGTTGCTGGAGGCCAGGAGTTCGAGACCTACCTGGGCAGCATAGTAAGACCCTGTGTCTACAAAAATAAAAAAGTTAGCTGAGTGTGATGGCATGCATCTGTAGTCTCAGCTACTGAGGAGGCTGAAGTGGGAGGATCACTTGAGCCCAGGAGTTTGAGGCTGCAGTGAGCTATGATTGCACCACTGCACTCCAGCCTGGGTGACAGAGGAAGATCCTGCTTCTTAAAAAACAACAACAAAAAGGTTTGCTGCTATACAGATTGCTTTAAATTTTCTAAATACTCTTCAAAAAGCCTTTTTCTTTTTTTGATGGAGTCTCGTTCTGTCGCCAGGCTGGAGTGCAGTGGTGCAATCTCAGCTCACTGCAACCTCTGCCTCCTTGGTTCAAGCAATTCTTCTGCCTTAGCATCCCAAGTAGCTGGGACTACAGGCGAGTGCCAAACGCCCGGCTAATTTTTGTATTTTTAGTAGAGACGGGGTTTCACCATGTTGGCCAGGATGGTCTTAATCTCTTGACCTTGTGATCTACCCGCCTCGACCTCTCAAAGTGCTGGAATTACAGGTGTCAGCCACCACACCCAGCCCTAAAAAGCCTTTTTAAAGTAAATTGGTAAATGTAATAAATTCAGCAAATCAGCCATTTAGCATGTTAATTTTCAAAGACGGTTTTGTCACACTGACCCAGAGTCCTGGGCCTTCCACATATTGTCATCCCCCTGGGCCTATCACACACAGTGCTGAGATATAAAGCAGTGCTCCAGAAAGACACCATCAATGAATAGTCAGTATTCAGCAAGTGTGTGTCCTAGCTGGTGTTGCTGGCTCAGGGACATCCTCCAGGCAATCCTGAGTTAATTTGTATTTCCATAGACAGATGCACGGACTTTGTCATACGTCAGTGAACTGGAGCACACAGGGCCAGATTCCTAGCAATCATGTTGTTGCTTACACAACACCCTGGGAGCCCTGATTCATCTTCTGCCTCTTTGCTGAATTCCAGTATCAGCGCATAAAACAGAAGGTGGAAAGTCCAAGCCCAGACAAGAATGTGTAGGCTTTGGTTGTCAGTGTCAGAGCTGCTCGTCTCCTGTGCCAGCAGCCCTCTCTCCATAGCAACAGCAGGACATGTTTTCAGGGCACTGCCTGGCAGGCTTGATGCCAAGTCCTGTATAGACATGACCCCATTGGCTCCTCATCATGGCCCAGTGAGGTAGATTCTATTATCACTCCCTCTTCACAGAGGGGGAGACTGAGGCTTAAGCAGTGCTGGCTGACTTGCTCCCAGAGCACACAGCCGGCGGGCGGTGGAGTCGAGATCCCAGCCCAGATGGCTGTTTCCTTCAGGAAGTCAGCCATCTGGCTTGCAAGCATGTCTTCATACACGGGCTGCAGGAAACTTTCTGTCTACGGGGGAGGCAGTTTGTTATAGTGGAAAGAGATGGACAGATCCTGGTTTCTGGCTCTGCCTCAGTTTCTTTCTGAGTTTGTTTCCCAAACTACACAATGGTGACAAGACTTCTCGACGGTGGTCTCAAGGATTTAAATGAGATCATGTGGCAAGGACCCAATAAATATGTTTGTGTTGCTCTTCTTGTTCTAAGTTGTTTATAAATTTCTTTTTTTTCTTTCTTTTTTTTTTTTTAAGTCAGTGTTTCACCATGTTGGTCAGGCTGGTCTTGAACTCCCGACCTCAGGTGATCCACCCACCTTGGCCTCCAAAGTGCTTGAATTACAGGCATGAGCCACCACGCCCGGCCTGTTTATAAATTTCTACAATGAAATTTTAAAAATATACACACAAAAAGAAACCCAGTCTCAGCACAGGAGACACACACCTAGATTTATTCTCCTGAAGTAACAAAACTAAGAAAACAGATGAATATATACTTGCACAAGGAATTAATCTGGTCACGTCTCCTATGCACTGTGTGTGCTTGGATGTATATCTGTCCATCTGTGTGTGTAGTGTGTATGTGTACTGTGTGTAGCATAGGGATGTAGTGTGTGTAATTGTATGTCTGTGTGTAGTGTCTGTGTGTGTAGTGTGGCATGTGTCTGTGTGTGCATGTATTTGTGTGTGTGTTTGTGTGTATAGTTGTGTGGTATGCGTTTGGGTGTAGATGTATTTGTGTATATGTGTGTGTGGTATATGTGTGTATGATTGTGTGTAGTGCGTATTTGTGTGTAGTGTGTTTGTGTGTATAGTGTGTGTCTATATGTGTAGTTGTGTAGTGTGTATGTGTCCGTGTGTCTGTAGGTATAGCGCATGGTATGTGTGTGTAGAGTGCATGTAGTATGTGTCTGTGTATGTAGTTGTGTGTGTTTGTGCTGTGTGCATGTGTCTATGTGTGTATCCCTCTGCTGTGTACTGTGTGTATATACTGTGTGTCTGTGTGTAGTTGTGGAGTGTGTATGTGTCTGTGTGTCTGTAGTGCATATTAAGAGTCTGTGTGCATGTATTTGTGTGTGTCTGTGTGTGGTTGTGTGGTGTGTATCTGCTTGTGTGTAGGTATTTGTGTTTGTGTGTTTTGGTTTGTTATGTGTGTGTTTGTGGTGGGGACTCACACACTCCCCCAATTTCCTGCCTCTGAGCAGTCTGAGCAGGAGAGGGGAACAGGAGGGGAGGGTGAGAGCCCTTAGGGTACACCTCCCCCTCTCTCCAGAAGGTTTTTACCTTCTTTCACAGAACTAGGGGCCTGGGGGAGCAGAGCCACAGCCTGCGCTCACCCTGCACCCTGCCTGGCTGGTGCCTTGCACTGGTTCAGTGAGAGGTGTATGAGAGCTGGTTATTTTTATCCCAGCTGGCTGGGTGTGATGCCAGTTTGGAAGGAGGGGCTGTCAGCATCTCCAGGAGAAGGTGTGCGGCTGGAGTCATCCTGTCTTGCTCACTCCCTCTGTTCCTCCCTTGCATCACAGCTAAGCACCCCCTTGTTAGCTGGGAAAGGCATGGAGGCTCTGGTGCTGGTCGTGGACTCCATGGGCCATGGCCTCAGAGGAGCAAGTGGGGCTGGGACCTCCTCTGCCTCCTGAGAGAGGGCACTGGGGCTGCAGAGTCCAGGCAGGATCCCCAGGTTGGTGTCAGGCTGTCTGACTCAGTCTCTGCAGCCTGGGGCTCTGCTTGTCCTACCCACGCTCCAGCAGCCTGCCTCTTCCACCTGGGCTGGGCAACTCCAGTGCATGTCTGCCCTGGGCTGGGAGCCCCTGTGCAGGGAACTGGGTGCCCACAGCTCTCCTGGACCTGGGCGTATCCCCCACAGGCCTCTCAGTGTCCCCAGGCCTCGGGGAGAGGGCAGCCTTGCTCTTCTGGGCCTTCCCCTGGTCATGCAGCCTGGTTGCTGCCTGCCAGCATCTCTGGGGCTGCCTTACCTCCTGCCAACCTGTGGATCTCTGGACTCTCATGCCCACTCCCCTGCTGGTGATCTGCATGCTGATCTGTGCCCTAGGTCGACAGGGCTCACGGGCAGCTTTGGTCCCTACCTTCCAATAGCATCTCCCAAGCCCTGCAGCCCCCTGTCTTCCATGCCCCTCTCTTGCCCTTCACCCCTGCTGCCTCCTCTGCCTGCATCCCCCACCTCCACAGTCCTCAGGCAGGCTCCTGGCCTTTCTTCAGGTCTCATAAATGTCACCTCCTCTGACACCTCCCACCTAAGGTAAGAGTGTTCTCCGACACCATTTTCTAATTGTATCCTGCTATTTTCCATGGCAGAATGTATTCAGTTTAAAATGATTAATTTGTTGACGTTTTGGGGGAAGTCAGTTTCTCCCACTAGCCTCTAAGCTCTGTGGGGCTGGGAGGACATCTGCACTGGACACCTACAGACCAGTGCCTGATGCCAGCCACGGGTTGGGGCTTACCAGCATGTGTAGCTGGTCCCATGGCCCCTACAGAACCTCTCCCCAACAGTCTGGATGAGGTGGGGTTACTTACTTTTCAGGTTTGTTGGGTTGGGTCTAAGGACTCGGTGGCAGCAGAGCCTGGCTCTTTTGCCTGGCCAGACCTTGTTAGGATGCCTCCTTCCTGATGGTGGACACAAAAAAGCAGAGACTGTCGTTAGCTGGCTTGCCTGTGAGTAAGTGAGCTTCCCTTCCAAGGCCCAGGGCTCAGGAATATTTATCCAGAGAAATTCAGGATGAGCAAGGCTACGAGAGGTCCCAGGGAAAGAGTGGGCCTTGCTGTGATTTACGTTCCAGAAATAACAATGTTAGGAGACACAGTGGCCCCAAAACATGTCCTTCTCACGTTCCCGTTCAAGCAGTTTCTTTGACACAGTAATTTTCTCCTTGGCAATCTAGTCTAAGAAAATAAGCCTGGCAGGGCGCGGTGGCTCACACCTGTAATCCCAGCACTTTGGGACGCCGAGGTGGGTGGATCACTTGAGGCCAGGAGTTCGAGATCAGCTTGGCCAACATGGTGAAACCCCGTCTCTATTTATTTAAAAAAAACAAATAAAATAAAATAATAAAATAAGCCTGAACTTAGGACATATTTTATGTACACATATATCTTTTACCACATAATTAAAATAGTGCAAAGTAGGCTGGGTGTGGTAGCTCATGCCTGTATTCCTAGCACTTTGGGAGGCTGAGGTGGAAGGATGGCTTGAGTCCAGGAGTTCAGGACCAGCCTGAGCAACATAGAGAGACCTTGTCTCTACAAAAAAATTTAAAAATTAGCAGGGCATTGTGGTGTGCATCTGTTTTCCTAGCTACTGGAAAAGCTGCGGTAGGGGGATCACTTGAGCCCTGGAAGTCAAGGCTGCATTGAGCCGTGGTTATGCCACTGCACTCCAACCTGGGCAACAGAGCAAGATCCTGCTTCAAAAAAAGAAAAGCACAAAATTGTGAACGATTTAAATGTCTGAGCATGTAAATTCATAATAGCACATTCACTTGATAGCAAGTTATACCTGAAAATATCAGTTGATTAATGCTGCTTCAAGAATCTGCCACTGATAGTCCTAAATGGATAGGAAACTTTATGGGGGACGATATCTATCCTCATTTAATTGTCACTAGGGTAGCATCGGCAATCTCCAACATGTCCAAAAATAGAGATCTGATAAATTGCATGTCATGGGCTGTGTTTCTGAGGATTTCTAATCACTGTTTTCCTCATTATATGTGTGGCAGATTTTCATTGCAGAAACTTTGTAAAACAAATGCTTGTTATAATCCGACTACTCAGAGATGGCTGCTGCTGACATTGTGTTGTAAATGCTTCCAGAATATCTTCAATTGTAAGTATTTTGGGTGATTATAATAATATAGTGATAAATAA